GTGCTTTTTCATGTGGTTCCAGATACGTGATTTGCCCACACCCCAAATAATGCTATTTGCATTCAAGATTAATAGCTGCATATCAGTAATTCCTAAATACCTCCTGATCCATATTTTCAATTTAAATGATTCCTGACATTATTGGCCAGGCAAATGCCTGAACCAATACGTCTGTGGATTGGTTGCCAGACAGATGACAACAACTTACACTAAGGCAATATGAACACGATTAACTTTCTGCTCTAGTCTCTTTAGATGTGGAAGGCAAAGATCCTTCCTTACTTTCCACCTTCCCCAGAAGCGGTAGTAGATTAGCAGATTAATAAATTTTACTATGTTCCAAGCTCATCCTGCCTCTGATACATATTTAGGAAAACCTTTAAAGTCACCCTTGAAGCAACTAGTCTATGATTTAGCCACACCCTCCTCGCTTTTTGACTTTATCCTTCAGTAAAAAACAAATAAGGTGAAAGAGCAAATTGGGAGTTTTTCTTTCCTTACAACTTTCCAGTGTCTGAGAGGATCATCCTGTTGACGTTATTTTAGGCCAGTTGTTGTTAGTTCATGTTTTTACCACCCACCAAAGAACAGCACAGGATTAAGTTTATATTAATAAAGGATGTTCATGACTAGGTTTCTAAATGCCAGAATTATGATTTATTTCTTTAAATGGGTGGAGAAAGGAGAGAGGCAATAAAATTCACCAGTCAGTCCCTCAAAAACCTTGGCTTCACACATTTTTTTTGGTCTTTTATGTATACCTCTAAATTCTATTATTATAGCTAATTTTTTGACTATTTACCTTTGTCCATAGCTTCCAAACTGTGTTTTTTATAGTTAAATTTATAAAAAATATGTTACTCTACTTTCTAAGTGTTTGTAATTGTCCCTCTTTATTCTCCCACCCCATTAGGAATTTCACAATAAAATCTTACACCAAATAAATTAAAATCTGCAACTTCGGACACCCAAGAAAGACATTAATCCACTTAGTAAAATACCCAGACCTCCCCCTCTCAATTTCAGCTCTTCTTAATGTAACATTTAGTAATTGCAGCTGGCTCCTTATACTTTCCTCCCTCCTTTCATTCTGAATCATATTGGCCTTGTTTAACCTTCATTTCCTTGCTTACCCCCCACATTTGTCCATATACTTTTCTTTGACCATGTTTGTCTCTTTCTTTTTGCTGTCTGGATTGAAAGCAATAAAGAGCTTTCTAAGATCTTAATGCTTTCTGTTACAATCCCATTCTACCTCCCCATTTCACTATTAATAGTTTGTACAATTTTTACACATCTTTCTGTGGTGTAGTTACTGCTCTATATTTTTCTGATTGATCATTAAGTTTTGCTGGCTTTTGAGCACTGACTCCATAATCCTGAAACAGAGGCTTTTTACTTGGCTTGCTTTTTGCCTTTGGAATGCCTTTCCTGGCAAGAACAGGCATTTTGGTTTGACTCTGATTCTTAAGTTACAATTCAAAGCTAATTTGTTCAGTTAGGTTTCTACTATAAGCAGCTCTGTTTCTCACTGTTAAGTGCTCCATGAGGCTGCTTAGTTGAAGGGTTTGTTGTAAGTGCAAGATGTAATATACTTATATTACACTTGATTATCAGTTTTCAAAAACAGCTGCATGCTTTGATATCTGTGTAAGGAAATAATCGGAAGATAATATACCATTGGTATTTATTACTCTATAATTAAGGATGTGTCAGTGTTTCTCTTTAAAAAAAAAAAAACCTATTTTCAGAAATTCATATCTCAGGCATAAATTTCCCTATGAATTACAGTCTAATACCATATTAGAAGTATCTTCGTTTTAAGTTATCCCTCCCCTTCTTTTTCTTTTCGGGGAAATAAGTTTCAGGATGTAATTTCTGGGTTATCTATTTGGGATGAGAGGAAGCGCGCCCTGTGCTGCACAATTATAGGTGCTTCTGCTGCAGACACCACCTGCTCCCTCTGCCCTAGGCCCTTGGTACCAGGCAAGGTCATGGGGGCTGCCTTGTGGATAAAGAGCCAGACTTATATCTATGTGGATAAGCAACTTCAGTGTTGTGTTATGGGAAAGGCCCTAGAGAAGACTCAACTGTTCAGAAACATCACAGGTACCACAGTCTGAAATTTTAGTACTAGGAATCAATTCTTTTGCATTCTTCTCTTAATAGTCACTTAGAATACAAATATTTCCCTTTCTTTCCTTTGAGGGATGGTTTTGACTTGCTGAATTGACCACAGCCTCCTTGAAGAGGCTGAGTTCTAGCCTTGCCGCTACCATCATAGGAACCACAGCTACTTAGCTTCTCCTTAGGCCCTCGGTTTCCCTGAATCTAAAATGGGAATTTTACAAAACATGTTTGCCAGGAAAGCCGGAAAGGTACCTAAGTGTGTAATCCAGCAGACTGTAAGACTACAGGGAGTGGCAGGGGGCTGTGATGGATGTAGAGACTAAATGTCTCCCTACTGGTTTAATATAGTAATAATAAAAACACTTAAAATATCGGCTACACTACATGGTCTCTCGTGTTCCTTTTAACACCAATGGGCAACAAAACAACCCTCCTGAGACTCCTTCCAGGCTCTTGCCTGGCGAAAGTTGAAATAGAGGGAACCGGGGGTCCAACTGAGTCATGAATATTGAACTTGGTGCTTCCTGAAAGACACATAGGTGACAATGACACTATGTCATGCAGGAAAGATTTATACAAAACATCTCTCTATCTTTATAATAGTCTGGCTCCTAAATATGCCATTATCTGATGCCTTAATTTTCTCATTTGTGAAATGATGATGGAAATATTACATTTTCAAAAATAAAGGACTTCAAATTCCAAGAAAGGTGTTATATAAGCATTCCTAGTAGAAGTCGCATCTTCTAGAATTCCACCTTAGGTCTGCTATTTAATGCAGTAACCGAAAGGATAGTAACAGAAGCATTTTAGATTTACTCCCAAGAAACATCAATTCTTTATATCAGTTTATAAGAACAATTATGAACCAATACCAGGGTTGAACATCATTACCATAGAACTATGGGAGAGAGAAAGGCATCACTCAGGTAATGAGAGATCATAGGAAGACCCTAAAGACACTGACCCCAAATTCTGGTTTAGGAAAATGGGCTACAAGGTGAGTGGGGATCTCGGTTCCTGAAATCCTGTGTACCTCACGTGCAGCTAGGGCATCCTAAAGATATAGGGAGGATTCTTTTTCATGAGATGGACTGAAATGAAAGTACAGAGCCCACACCTGGCTTCTGTGTCTTGAAGAGGAAAGGGGACAGGTAACAATCAGGAAGGGGGCTTAGTGGTTAGGAGATCAGACAGTTCTGTGCTCCACCACACAGCTCCGAATTTTTCAAGACAAGAGGATTGGCTCGTTTAACATTATCCTTGAACAGGGAGTTTATAGAGCTAGAGTTTTCCATCTTGTATTTGAAACAATACAGGTATTAGTTACAAATGGTGACCAGTAGCCTCAGGAAAAAGGAACTTATGGACAGTCAATTCCAACTTTCTTCATAGTATAATTTTTTTCCGGGTCAAGATTAAGTCCTTTGCTCTTGGTAAGCAGAGGAGTCTTGTCATACAAAACTGGCAGTTAGGGCAATTTTTCCATCTGAGGGAAATGGTTTTCTGATTCGATCAATAGTTTAGAGTCAAGAATGTTAAGGATGGTATGGTAGCAAAATTCATCGCAGGCTTCCCAAAGTATTTATAGCTCTGATCAAAAGGTATATCCAGTAATAACATTTAACACATGTAAAAGGTCATAATGGACTATTAGCTGTATAGTTAATGTGCCTCTCTCAGTTATATGTCCGTTCTTTCTACCATGACTCCTCTGACTTAAGCGTTATTGTAGATTTGGTGTTAATCGTGTTTTTTGTTATACTTTAATCACACATGTACATATCTTTGAGCAGCACATACAACTGTTTTAAAATTCTTCCAGTTACATTTTAATAAATAGCTTTAAAGGGAGGGTGTATTATAGAATCATTAGTTGTCCTGAATGTCAATTCCAATTTTAAAATGAACCATGTTTGTATTAGCGGTTTATAATATACTTTTAATTGATAAAATCCGATATTAAATATCATCCAATTTTCTACCAAAAGAAAAAAGGCACTTAGGGCCATACTTGTCAATAGACAATAGAACAGAACTCAGAATATGTCAGCATTCAAAGACAGCACAGACTATCATTCGAAAACTGATTCTATGACCCACAGAAAGTATGAGATGTAAATGAAAATTTTTTGTGGTTCATAATATTTCTGGGTAGCAGATGCTTTCTCAAAAACAGATTTTACTTTTAAAAATATCAAATATAATTAACACCTTCAATATAAAATGAAATCTTTGCTTCCAGATGCATTTCAAGGTGTTGAAATGAATCTGTGCAGCCGTCTACAGCTGAGTTTCCATTGACTTATTGAGTCTGCTACCATCTTTATGTGGCATGTCTGAAGACTTGAGAGTGAGAATAGGGCATTTAAACTTAACTGTATTTGAAAGACGCTTATTAAAACAGGAGCATTTCGAGAAAGGTCTCTTGACCTATTCCTGATCAACATGGTATAATGAGTAGGTTAAGAACTAGGTGCCCTGTTAATTATTATAAAAACTTCTAGCCAGAAGCATTATCTGAACTAGGTAAATTCAAGGTGAGCATCACAGACATTGTATCAAAGTGTTGATAATGCGCAGACTTTTAAGGATATTTAAAATTAAAATGGGTCTAACAATAATTTAAGAGTGAACAGAATTGAATGTAAAAAAAACACCAACATTTTCAACAACTATATTCAAAAACAAGAATTTTTTTTTTTATCTCTTTAGTGAGTGTAAGGGAAAAAATTGAAGAGTCAACTTGTATTCTCAATTATTCTCTCACTTCAGCAAAATATGGGTTAACTGACTTAACATCACTTCATTCCACCATAGCATGAGTGTTGGGAAGCATGTGAGCGAGCACACACACAGAGATACAGTTATATTTTCAAATACAGTTATATTTACACATTTACAAACCTTTTAGTGCTTATTTGCACTAGTACCAAATCTGACTGCACAGTTTTAAAAAGTGACAACTTTAATGTACATTTTTATTCAAGAAGGAATGCTGGCCATGGCTAAAGAAAAAAGGTGATTTGAGTTTATGGGTATAGAAAAAATTCCATACAAAGGTAACTTTCGGTACTATATTTGCCAAAATCGGGAACATATTTAAATGTTAGGATGTACTCTCTGAAAGGGAGTTAATGTTTTTTTGATTTTTTTTTCCCATCAATTAGTGAGAAAATATATAGAGATAGTTGTGCATACGATATCTTGCCATTATAAAATGTGAGCCCATTTATTTTCAGGATAGAAAACCATAGTAAACTAAGCACTGTTTCTTGGCTGTGAGATTAAAATATTATTTTGAGACAATGGCATCTATGACATGGCACCTTTGTGACTGAAGCAACCTACTGGTTTAGTTCATCTCCTTAGATGATAAACACTGCGTTGGCGAAGTGTCTAAAAACCTCTTTTGCATATTTATATCTTTACTTTTGGACTCAAAAGGAGCATGCATACCTGATAGATTCCAAGTTCCACAGTCTTGGATTGGAAGTCCCTAAATCTGATACAATCCCTGAACCCTTTGGTTTGTGGGTGATGAGGTAATTTGTTCAGTGACTTCCCTTCAAGGAAGGACTCAAAGCCCGTGCTGTGATGTCCCACTGTACATTGTGGATCTCACACTAGTTAGGGAGTGGGCTCTCTTGTGCAAAGATGAGCTCGTTGTTTCTGCTTCTTACTCTTTCTGCTTTTTAAATTCCCAGGCTTCATGGACCCTGAACTCCTGCTTTCTTTGATCTGCCAGTGCCTCTGTGCTGAGGGCTCTGACTCCCTGACCTTGTTCTAGTTCCTGCTTATGATTTTGCTACCTGTCAATGGGCCCTACCGGACTTCTGAACCATTGTCTGCTCTATGTAGGATGCCTGCTAAACCACTCACAGCCCTATCTACCCTCTTCTTCCTGGCTGCTCCTCGTGCTGCAGTATATAGGAGTAACTCATTTCAAAAGCTAGGAAACTTACGATTTACCTGTCAGTAAACAGAAGATGGTTTATCAACAGACTTTACCTTAATGACTACAAATGTTTACCTCCTGCTTTCCAGAATGCAAAGAAAATCTTGGAAATGTCATAATATCTTACAAACATTTGCAAAACAGATCCTTATTCATCCAGAAAAGAAACAATTGTATTCGTTGTTTCCTGACACAAGCAAAGTGTTCAGTGAGAAACATACAGAGATGTACACACTGACACGTAAATGAGATATGTTAATTAAAAATGGCAGAGGGCACTTTATTAAAAATTTATTTTACAATCTAGCTGTTCAAAACATCTTTATATCAACAAATACAGCAGCTTGACTATTGGAATCATAAGCGATTTATCTTGAAAATATATTTGTAGCTGGATCCAAATATTTTCAAGGACTATTTATACCAAAATTACTGATTTTGTTAGATGTGCTTTGATTTATTTTTACCTATGGGAAAAAAGTTAAAACCAGTATCACAGTGTTCATGTTATGGTCAAGGTGGCCCTGCTCAGTGTAATTCCCATGTTTGTTCGAATTACAGCTGTTTATCTTGCAACTTCCTTTGAGATAAATTAAATGCAAATGTAACTCAGTGAATCATGGGAATACCTGCCAGACCCCTTATTAATACCTTCACTTAAAACCCCTGTGCCAGAGTCATTAATTTACTAAAATAAAAGTGCTAAGGCAGCCCTTTGCCACGAACAACTCTGAGATGGCTGCCCAATTAGTCCCACGGCATTCTGATCCTCCGTTCAGACCCTGTGGCCCTTCAAGGACACAAGAAGGCTTCGATGATAACCTGGCAACTTAGGTAGAAACCCAGCCAAGTGCGAGCGTTTGAAGCTGCAGTTTGGCTGCCATCGTGTCGGCGAAAAGAAAGAATTCAGGCACCATGTCATCCAGTACAAAGGATAAAAACGGATTCAACCGGAAATTCAATGTGGCACCACATATGGGATACATGAGTGCGGTTATACAACAGGCCACATATTTTTTTTGAACAGTCTCCTCCATGTGATGCCGAGGACATGTGTAACCATCATAACGTCTCTAGGAATCTGTATTTAATTTGAGTTGGGGTGGTGGCAGGGATTGGAGATCTGAAGCCGCCACAGGTTTGTGGCAGATGGCTCTGTGTCAGCTATGACAAGCAGCCAGGCTCAGCTTCCTCTGCAGATTTTCTTTTCTCTCTGATCAGGTAAATATGGGCACACTCTGGAAAGTTCTACAGATTCTGCCTTAGGCTGCAAGTTTGTGACTTAGCCCCATCTGTCACAAATCTTCCCTAGGTTCTGTTGTAAGCAGAGACCTGAATTTACCATGTAGGGCTGCCCAGGAAAAAGGAGTCATTTCACCCTGTAAAGGGGAGAGAGAGGAGAGAAGGCAATGACGGAGCATTAATGACTGAAAGACTAAAGAATGCTGAAAATTCATATTGCAAATTTGCATAACTTACATTGACTGGATTTCAAAAAGCCACCAAATAAATGGTTCTCGAGTTTTAGCACCTCAGGAAATCCCAGTTTCTGATTGGTTTAAAGTATAACTATTTCCAACCATAGGGGAAAGCTCCCGTTTTTTTGCAAATGGGTACATTCTGCTGCACACATATTTCCTGGTTTATGTTATGGATGACAGCTATTAAAGTTTACTATCCAACTTTTAACTTTTATAAACACAAGATACACAACACTCTTAATACATGTTTTTGCTAATGTGAATTTTACTTTTAAGTGGTGAAGGCACAAGAGAAATGCCATTACGATTACGTGGAATTTATAAAGCACTTCGAGTTTACAAATGGGTTTATATTCATTATTTCATTATAGCAGTACCTCAGGGGGAAAATGCTATTAAGAATTAAGAAAAAGAATTCTTCCAAGTTTACAGATAAATCATATAGAGGTTAGGAAGTTCACCTAGCGCTAGTCTGCAAATGAGTAGCAGAGAAGGACAAGAAGTCAAAACCTCTATCTGATCTTAATCACCCAAAGTATATCTATTGAGCTAAAGGTTTTTTTACTTTTATTTACTTAGGCAAATCAAAGGAAAACCAAGCCACATAAAATCAAGGAATGAAGTGAAGAAGGAGACAGAGAAGAATAAGGAGGAGGGAGAGAAGAAAGGAGGGAGGTTGACACTGAGAATTTGACTTAAATTGTGCTGGTGCAGTTGAGAGATTTTAGAAGTTCTCAAAATGTCACAAGCTTTAAAGTTTTCATTTTTAAGGAAAAACTGATGACTTTGGAGGAGTGTTAATACCAGTGAGCAATACCTTATTCACATCTAGAGTATAAGCTCAAATTAAAAGGGGACTATAAAGTGACCAGTCTCTTAAAGGAAATTTAAAGTGGCTTGACTGTGGTTCGGGTGAACGTGGCCTGATATAATTAAGACAACCACAAATGGCTTTTCTGGGCACTGAGTCTGAATTGTAAGCTTAATCACTGTTTGGAACCACTTTTGGGCAAAAATCTGAAAATTCTTCTCTCCTCTGAATAACAGCAGGTTACAAAGGTTTCTAGAATGTTAAAGAACTTGAAGAGGAAGACAAAATAAAAATCAGCAGCTATCATTTGAAAATTCTTAAGAAACTACAGATCAGTTTTGCAAAGCACAAGAAAGAATGACATCTCTTTTTTTTCCCACACAGAATATTGCTCAATTTGTAAATAAAAGTAATGAGAAATAGGACAGGAATGAAAATAGAATTGATGTTAGCCTGGGCAGTACCTACTTTATGCAACTGCCCCATTTGTTCTTGTGCTATTTTCAATACTGGTAACAAGGGAATGTCTGCCCATTTTTTTCCCCCTAAAACATTTAAAAAATATAATAATCAAAGGTTCTCTAAAAGCATAAAGTATTGATCTCAAAAAATTGTTGGAAATATTCAGAAAGTAAATTCACACAGTAAAAATAGGCAAAAGAAAATATACAACTTCACGGTATTAAACTTGCTTGGGTCATAAAAGGAAAAAAAACTATTGTTAGTGTAAGAAGTCAATCCTTGGCTAATTATTTTATGATTACTTCTGGAATCTCGTGTTCAAGTAAGGTTTGGGAGTCATAAGGAGCTCCTATTTTATCTACGTGACAAGTATGTAGCCGATGTGTCTCACCTCCTTAGAAGAGGAAGTGTCCTGAGAGTACAAGAAAGCTGCAGTCAATGACTAAAGCAGGATGTACACTTTCTTGAGAAATGGTTTTAGATTTTTAAAATTAAAAAATAATATTTTTAGATTTTTAATATAATTAAGAAACACTTATTTTCTGCATGTACTGGATTTCTCTAAAGATTTTAAGAAAAATGTGTGTGTGTGTGTGTGTGTGTGTGCGCGCGCGCGAGAGATAGAGAGAGAGAGAGAGAGCACGTGCATGCATGTGAGGAATTTAAACATTTCAAGTCTGAAACCATTTCAGGTGAGAAGTCATGGGCACAATGTTCTGTAGTAGAAAGAGTCACATTAAGAAAAAAAAGTATCAAATTCTTTTTCTGCTTTTCAGTTACTAGCATTCTGTTTCGAATCCTGCTTCAAGTTATAGCCCCTAAAGTCTCACTCATATTGAAAATATAATATCTCATGTGAGAAGAAAGCCAAGTGTTAGTAGCCTTATTCTAGTCATTAAATTTCTAAGTGTGAATCCATATGGAAAATTCTATCCTAAAGTGAACTCTATATGATAACCAGTTGAGATGATTTAAAAATGTAAACTTTTAACAAAAAAAAGAGTAAGGTGTAAAAATGTAAAAGGAGCAAATTTAAAAATTCAGCGACAATCTATCCTTTTAGATCTTAGAAGCATATGTTTTATAAAAGCAAACAGCACTGTCCAATAGAATAAATCTAAAAAAAAAAACTTCAACATTCTCTTTACAGTATACACAAAAGACTCTTCCATTTCATAAGAAAAGTAGGTAAAAAGCTGCCTTGGGGGAAACACTTCTCTGGTATTTAGTGAAGGCAAATGTTACCTGTATATTTATAAAACATAAGGATAAAAAATATTATAACTTATTATATGTTAATTATAAAGTTTTAGAAGGCATTCTTTTTCTGTTTTGGTTCTAAATCCTATTATAACAACCAAATTAAATCTATGCTGCTTTCTGTCATTTTTTACCAATTTCTCCTGACAACTGCATCTTAAAGCTCTTGATTACTTAAGATTCTTGAACTAATTTATTAATTTTGAAATTAATTTTTAGATACGTACAATATCATCAAGATATATGAAAATGTGTAATAGATGTAAAATTAAAAAATCCATGGTAGAAAATATGAACTATACATATAAATTCTTATAAATACTTATGCATGAAATACTAATTTATAAAACTTTGAGATGGAGCATTTTAGGATGTACAGAATAAATATATGTAAAAAGTAGTAACGTAAAATAACATTTAAGATATAGGTTATCTTTAAAGCTGCCTCAGGAATAATTTGATATATTAATAGCATACCACTGAGTTGACATTCTTTCAGAGTTTTTCCAGAAGTTTTTTTGTAAAATAAATAATTACAGCTATGTTACGGCAGTAGCTGTATTAAAATATTTCATCTGGAGATCTGTTTTCTTTTGTAACTAAAGTCAACTGGTTGCAGTAACTTTTGAAATGGTTAAAAATTTGCAGATGCAAAGTAACAGTGTTAATAAGGCCTAACTTGAAGCAAAGTTAAAAACTGATAAATTTTGATGATGGAAATACAATTATCAATATTTCACTATTCTCATTACAAGGAAAAAACATTTTCTTTCTTTTCTTTTTGTATCTATATGAAACGATGGAAGGTTGGTAATTATTTTTCAATATATATAACAAGTCATTATGCTATACACCTTAAACAGTTACGTATATGTATTTATATCTCAATTAAACTGAAAAAAATTTACCAAAAATTCACCAGAAGGAAAAAACATCAATAATTTGATGTTGAATTTACTGAAAATAGCTTTGTGTCAATATAGAGAATGAATCCATTTGTATTAATACTTATTATTCTATTTCTTCTATTCTATTTTCATAAACTGCATCTGCCACGTGAGAAATGACTTGATTAATATTTTATACAAACAAGACCACTACTGAACTTTAAAAATTAGGAAATGTGGATGTAAACCTTAGAAGACTGTTTTCTCTGTGAAGCTATGTATATGATACAATCGTATCGACTCAAGGAGTAATACTGATGCCTAGAACTGTTCAGTCAGCATTTTAAACTATTATGAGCTACCTTCTGAACCATTGCCAAGTTAATAGACAATGAAAGATAATGAGCTTGAAATTGGGTGTTAAATTGCATTTTTGGTTCTCTCCCTTTTTCTTGAAGTTTAACTGTTTCCTGCAGAAACAAAGTCATGTTTTGATATGTCACTATGTAAATATGTATTTTAGGCCATGAAAAGGGGAAGGAGAGAAATAAGGCGACAAACTGTATTTCACGTAGGAAGGTTATACACTAACATAGGAAAATTAAAATATGCTAGATTATAAAACTGCTAGATTGCAAACTATACTGAATTTATGTAAAATGAGGATGTTACATTCAAAGAATATAAAAAGGTATATTACTCATGGCCTAGAGCCACCTTCGAAACTCATAAAGCAGATTTATCCCAGTTCAATTACTTAGGCATTTAGTGGGGCCCCTTTGTGTTGTTATTTCAACAATGTAAAATTCTTAATTCAAACAAGGGAAAAAAGAAAATGAATGAGGAGACTAAACGATGATGCTATTTAAACTATGTTCTTTTTGCCTTTACCATTCAGAGAGGAAACTGATAGTCTAATTCAAAACAAACTGAGGATTTTTTATGTCATTTTATTAAACTGGGCAAGGGAAACATTTGATTCTTGAAAATCATCTTTAAAGCAGTTAAAAAATGAACACCAAACTTCACTAATGCCAGTCACCTGAATTTTTGAGGAATGAAGATTTCATTATGATGGGAAGAAAGGCTTATCCTCATTAGTATAATTGTAGAATCTTTCCTTTACTTCCTTTTAAACTAATGAGTTACATTAATCCAGGTTCATTTTTATAAGCCTCTTGGGGCTAAATGTAAAGGACAGTCATCTTAGAAAACAATAAATTTAAAAAAAAAAAGCATGTACCGTGCATTAAGTGCACGTATTTCATAAGACCTAGGTTAATACGACTGGCATCCAGTTTAATTAATCCTTGTTAGTGTAACAACTAATATCCCTTCCTAGCATGTTTCCTTTAAACATTAGTATGTTAATTAAATGTTTTTTTTTTTTTAAGATTTTTCTTTGTACTTCAATATGGCATTTGTACCGTGTAAATCTCTTCTCAATAACTACCTTATAGAGATGTTTCCTTACAATATCGGGTCTCTTGCAGAAATTCTGGAGCCTTTTTGAAAGCTGTTCAGGTGTAGAATACAGATATTCAGCTGCAGGAAAAACAGATACATTTTTAATGAAACAAAAACCTCAAAGCACACACTCGATATTAGTCACTTTACTAATTAAAAATGCATATTGCTCTGTGCCGCCTCATGTTTTACATTATTTAAGCATGATTTTATAAGGTTACCTCAGCTCACAAGGATGTTTAATGCTAAATAAGACTGTGTAGTTGTGCTGTTTAGACATCTCCTTTGGGTGATTAAAATACATTATTCTAATGTAACACAATGCATATGTGATATATTTAGTGATGAGATTTTTTTCAAAGCACTGGTACTATAGCCGTATGTACCCTGTACAACAGTTGCATATTATTAACGAGTTGATTGTTTAAATAATTTGGTGTGACTTTCAGGCCTCAATTTTTCTCTGTGTATAGCATTTTAAAAAATCTGTAAGCAACTGCAACAACACTGACCTGCTTATAAAAATCCATCATTATGGGATGTGTATACTAACAATGAAGAATGCTATTTGAAAACTCGCTTTTTTGTTATCTTAAAAGAACAGATGGTAAATATAAGCTCATTCTAATGTATTAAAACACATAAAATTTTCCTTAACACTAACATGTTGACTTGCCAAATAAACAATTGCTCCTGCCTAAGTTTATTTTCAAACTTTCTAATTTAGCATGAATCATGTTTTAAATCTCAACAAAGGCAAAAGTACATTAAAGCAGCTACCTGGAAATATTTCGGGATAAACCAAATCTTTGGGACAAAGTGGGTAACAACCACAATACACAGCTTCCAACCTACAGAAATTTTAGAAAAAAAGGATAAGATATATTAAAAAGACGTTACTATCATAGCCAGAAAGTGGTTTTGTTTGCCTAAGTTAACAGTATAAGCTCAGAGTTAACTGGGACGTAGAACATGGTCGGCAGTACAAGCCTAAAAGCCAAAGTTGCTCTTTTAAAAGGTTTTATTGATCATATATGAATTTCATAGAACAGAACCAACAGCATATGTTTTGTTCACTGAATTAATCAAAGCGCAGCTCTGCATTTTTTTTTGTTTTTAAAATACTGTTTAACACATTTTATAATCAGCAGATAAACACATGTAACAACATGGTAAAGTATGGACAGCTTTTCTTAATAATGCTGCAAAGCCCCAGAATGTTCATTTTTTAAAAGTGTTTAAATAAAATAGCAAATACTTAACTTTGACACTGTAGCCGTAGAAATGATCGAGGCACTTTTAAAAGCATCAGAAAAAAATTTACAATCTGTTGTGATGGGGCATTTTCATTTTTGAGCTCGTGCTTCAAAACAACTTGTTATTATGTAGAATGTAAAACTATTTCCCCTTTTATTGAAAGAGACTCATGAAGATTACCTTAATAAACATTTTGCTCTCTAGACTAAAATTTCAGCTCCTTTTGCTATTCTATCAGAAAAGAACACTTTTATTATTAAACAAAGAAACAAGAAAGTTTCACTTTGCGAGAGGCTTTCCCCAAGGACTACCTATAGGAAATTTTTCTTCAGGTCACGATACCAAGGGTTAAGCAGAAGGAAGGTACTGAATCTCAGTGGTTGTGTTACCCCTGCATAATGACTATCGATCCGACATATAACAAACCTTAAAGATACCACCGTAATTTCTGTTGGCTAGGAATTATGCAGTGAAATTCAAAACACTCTTTAAAATATGTTTATTTTATGAGAAACTTTGAATTGCATCCAAAATGTTGACCAAAGGCGGAATTTATTTCGAACTGCAGATTTTTTTCAACCCAAGAATAATTTGAAGTTATGTCAATGTTTACCTTGTTTATTTACAGTGACAAAGTACATGCAATTTAAGCTGTTTTTAAGTGGGTGATGTGTTCCTTATTTTATTATGTTAACTGAAATTAGTTTAAATAAAAATTACTTACTTTGAGCTGCAAAGTTTGGAAAAATACTGAGTTCAAAGTTTTGTTTGAGAACTGATAGAATTTACAAGATAACACAGTGGGAAAGGCACGAGATCCAGTTACTAATTATTAACTTCAAAATCCAAACCAATATCTAATATTTTTGTGTCTTCATACATAGGGACGTATAGAAATTCTATCCTAAGCACGGCTGTAAACTGCACTGTGACTGCATTTTAAAACATTCACAAAAGTTTTGAGCACATTCACCAGCGATACTCTTTATGAAAAGAAAATAATCACTTTATCTGAGGACACTCAGTTTTAAAATGCAGTGCCAGTCGAAAAGCAATACATATGAACATTCTCTTACAATTACATAAAATCAAAAGAGTGAAGTCACAGGCATTTCAGAAAGTGCACATGTTATCTGCTTTTTAATAATGGATTTGAACTAGAGTGTTCTGTTCCCCGAAAGAAAATTGCAGGCCAAGTTACATTTTGAGTCATCGCATGAACATGTACCGTGCCATTTCCCCAAGACCTCTGCTAATTAAAATACAGTGAGATAGGAATGGCATGAT